AAAAAAAAAGTAAAAAAAGAACGGTTAGTAACCGTTCATATTAAAAAAAAATAAAATAAACTCCAAAGAATTCGTACTTACGAATCTTTGGAGTTTCTGTACTTTGGAAGCCCACCCGAAAGCCGAACCTATAAAAAAAAAGTAAAAAAAGTGAAAGGGGAAAGGGAAAGGAAGGAAAAGGGAAGGAAGGGAAAGGGGAAGGGGAAACAGGGAAGGGGAACGAAGGAAAGGAAAGGGGAGGGGAAGAAAAAAATTATTAAAAGTTTAAAAAAGGATGTATAAGATGATCCTTTTTTAAACTTTTAATACGCGTAATGCGTAATGCGTAACGTTTGATTAACAAAATTAATAAATCGACCATAAATCATATATGTCGAAATTTGGCCGATTTTTAATAATTTACGAAATTTGGCCAAAATGTGTGACAGATCAGCCGATTTGTCACATGACCGAAAGTTTTGATTTCGACCAGTGGGGACTGTGCTGCCGAAGATTGTTGCTAACTTTTCTGCGGTATACATGTTGTTTGTCCTTATAGGTTACTTATAGTTACCTAATCTTCAATTGCCGAATATATTTTTCTGACGGGAGCAAGTGGTCATAGTTCGGTGGTCATAGTTTGGTGGTCATAGTTCGGTGGTCATAGTTCAGTGATCATAGTTCGGTGGTCATACTTGGAATCCAGGTGAGTGTATAAAGGATAATCATAGCATAAATCAGGTTTTAGAGCCTGAGGAGCTTACTAAGGTGGTCATAGTTCGGTGGTCATAGTATTATCATAAGTTTTTTGAACTATGGCCAGTACTATGGCCGGATATTCTGTCTGATTTCGGCTTTATTCGTGTTTTTATCCACTTTTTAGTAGTCTGGTCATAGTGGTCATAGTGGTCATAGTAGTTTTATATATAAGAAAAAATGGAGAAAAAAAAAGAAGTTGGAAAGTACTGTGACCAGCCATGGCTACTGTGGCCATGGAGTTAGTATATATGGGGAATTCTCTACCCCACGAAGGGGGGATGTAGGTACTGCGAGGCTGTGAGGCCGAGGTGGGTGAGCGCTAGCGAGACACACTACCAGCTCGACAACCCAATCATTGGAGAAGTAGGGTATCCTCTGTGAACTTGAATGGGAGGCATATCAAAAGGCTTGTAAAGAGAGAAACAAATGCCGCAGTAGAGCATATTATAGTAAAAGAAGCTATTCGCTGTTGTAACTTACAACTATAAGTTACTTAAGGATAGAGAATACATCGGGACGAGGATGTGTTCGGTGACTCGGATGACGATGACTCAGATGGTGAAGAATAGTTTAGGAAGACAGTACTAATCTGTCCCCCTCTTTTTTTACTCTCATAGGGTAGGCAGACAATTAATTTTATTTTCAGAAAAAATCTAATTGAATAAAAGAGGAGTATAAAAAGTTTACAAGATGTCAACACATCAAGCAAGAAGTGCCCAACACAGACAAGTCATTCGATCAGTTTTAGCTGAACTCAAGCAGGTATCTGTCAAGTCCATCCCATATCCCCGCTCAAATGCAAAATTGCAGGAATATGAGGATGAGATCAGCCAAATCCGTGAAGCACAAGCAGAGGTAACCAATGAAGAGATAAACCGCATGATGCAAATTGACCCAGACCCACATTATGAGGTAGTCTTTGAACGTCGTGATCAGGTACGTATAGGAAAGGAGTTAACAGACTCAAACTTTATGGCTGATATTGCTATAGGAACACCTGGAGAGCATGACTATGCTTCATTTCTAACAGCACACAGTCAAACAATCCAGAATATTCTTCAGGATGAAAGAAATCGATTGGGATCAATAAAAGTAAGAATTGGAATATTTGCCACAATAAGACGTTTAGATTCTTACCT